ATAAAATAAAAATTTTAAACTTCTTCAAAGGGCTATCATGTGAAGATTACACTGGATAACTGCCTTTCAAAACTGCAAAGTCTTAAAAGCAATTCTCCATGCAATCACAAACGATTTCTGTCTCTGGCACCATTTTTTCACTCATTCAAACTCAAAACTATTGTCATTTCCCTCTGAATCTATAATCAATAATTCACTTAGCTCTGACATCTCTTTCTATACAATATCATTTTTGTTACTAACTTCTAAGAAACCCATAATTTCAAATCTACACTACTTTGAATGACTGACTTATCAGCTTCCAGTTTCTTCTTCTTCTAATCTATCATATGCAAATGATTTTTCTTCCTAATACACCTAGCTCAAAAGTCTTCAGAGGCTCTCTAACCCACAGAAAAAGGTGCCATCTACACAGCCCTGTATTCTACAACACAACTGCAACTAAGAGTCAGTTTCTAAGCTCATCTCATGGCTTAAAATGAAGTCATGTTGCCAGCCAAAGCCAGGTCTCAGTGTGCTAAGGATTCCCTGCATTCCCTGCTTCTCTGTGTTTCCTAAAACCTTTAATGAGCCTCAGGAGCTTGCCTCACACCCAGCCAATGTGAATAAGTAGATCATCAACAACTTCAATGTGATCCTACTTGCTTCTTCCCTTGGACTTCTCACTGATGGGCCCGCTTGTCACACTGGATCCTTCAATACCATTACAAACTTTCTTGTCACCTTGTACCAAGACTAGTAAGGTTAAGTTGATTAATTCTAGTGCACGCTCTGCATACCAGGGATTCTGCCTGCTGGCCAGTTTCATTCTTCTTCTGGTTCCTTGTTGGCCCAGTATCCCTGTCCCTCTCCTCTCTCATATTCAGGGTCTAATATAATTAAACACAGTAGCACTTTTAACCTTATCTTCCTCTACAGCTCAACAGAAACCTGTTGTTCTATCTTAGTCAATCATTTTCAATCCATTCAAACTAAAAACCCTCTTTATATGACAAATATTTTACTACTTTTGGAATGGAATTCATATGTAACAAGATATACACACAATTTCAAATATTTATATATAAATATATAAATATAAATTCAAATACATTATATCTGTAGTAACTATAATACAAAAAAGAAATAAAAACAATTTATAATGAACAAAGTCTTTAAATATGTAAGTAGACACAACTATACTGGAAAACATGTTGAAGAGTGGTGCTCACATCTATGTACAGAATTAGAATAAACACAACCACTACAAATGCAGACCGAGGGGTATTGAATTATTGAATTAAATAACACAAGCAGTATGGCCACTAAGGAATTTTTCCAAAATGTGAACAAGTTGTAGTAAAGTTTTAAACAAAACAAAATACAATTTCCCATGATTTACACCAGGCGTCACCAAACTTTTTAGACAGGGGGCCAGTTCACTGTCCCTCAGACCGTTGGAGGGCCGCCACATACTGTGCTCCTCTCACTGACAACCAATGAAAGAGGTGCCCCTTCCTGAAGTGTGGCAGGGAACCGGATAAATGGCCTCAGGGGGCTGCATGCGGCCCACGGACCGTAGTTTGGGGACGCCTGATTTACACTGTACTTGTATTCCTGGATAGTTTGGTATCTATTAAATCTGTGCAGAGCATATTTTGTTTATATGCAACATAGTTGGGTTTGGGTTCATAAACAGATTTTTCACCTGCATGAAGGCCCAGTAGGACATTTAAAAAGCTTATGGGACATGAGACAACTGTTTATTGTATTAGAGTAGAGATCGACAAACTTTCATGGGAATAGCCAAATAGCATGTACTTTAAGTTTGGGGGACCACACAATTTGTCAAAAGTACTCAATTTTATCTATGAAAGCAGCCATAGACAATACATTAATGAATGGAAGTGCCACTTTCAAATAAAACTTTATTTACCAAAACAAACAGCAGGCCCCAAGCCATAGTTAGCTTCCCTGTGTATTAGAGTTTCTCATGTAAATGACTTGCTTTCATCCACTAAACACCGGTTGCATTGTTCAACTATAGTGATGACAAAAGCCACTTCTATGCAGCAATAATTACCCATCCCTCCTGCCCTATCAATTGAAAACTCCTGATCTTAACTATTCCTCCTATTCACTGCACTTGGCAAAGGCACTGAGCTCTCTGATCTCAGCTCCTTTTCTATATCTGTCTGGAACACAACTTCTCTTCAATCTACTTTTTACTGTTTTTCTATCTTACACCTAATTCAAGACTCAGCTAACACTTTACCTCTCATCACTAATGGAAGAATTTCCTTAGAAATCACAATCTTTTAGATTTCACAATCTTTTATAAATAATTTGGCATTAATATGCCACTACATATTACTCTTCAACTTATGATTTATACGTTCTACCTCCCACTTGCAAGGCAGGTTCCTTGAGGGAACAGACTGTATCTAACAATCTGTCATATCTACAGATTCTAGCTTACTGATTTTCCTTAAGTCACTTACTATTGTAGAGTGATTACCATGCTAGATGTTGAGGGTACAGCAGTGAACAATCAGACAAGGTCTCTGACCTCACTAAGATTATATACTTAGAGAGTGGAAAGAAAATTTCAGATTCCAATAAGAATTATAATGGAAATAAAAAGAGTGTGTGATATGGAGAATAAAGAAGCATAAAATGATGTTCAGCTACTAATTTAGATAAATGCCCAATGAAACTCTGAAATGAGATGTTTGAATTGACCGCTGGATCTAAAAAGAGCCAGGGAAGAGCATTTCAGCCATGGGAAAGAGCATGTGTGAAATTCCTGAGACAGGAAACTCTATAGCATGTTTGAAGAAAATCAGTCATAAAGGACTTGAAACGATTTTAAGTAAGGGGATTGATACGTTATGATTTTAGTTTTCAAAAATATTATACTGGTAACAGAGTAGAGAAAGGACAATAGTAAAGCAAGAGAAGTGAAGTGACTAATTAAGAAGCTATTACAGAAGTCCAAGGAAAAACTGACGATATCCTGGACTGGGGGTGGCAGTGGAGAGAGAGAACGTGGACAGATTTTAGGTATCATTTAGAGAGGTAATCAACAGGGCTTGTTCATGGCTAGATTTGGGTAGAGGGAGCACTGGATGCTGCTATTACTAACATAGGGAGAACATGGTTTCAGTTATGGTGGGAGGATCATGAGTTCCATTCAGATGTGTTAAGTTTGAGGTGACTGTTATACAATGATTGATTTTTAAAGATTAAACCAGCTTTGTATTCCTGAAATGAATCTTGGTTGGTAGTGATGTATTATCCTTTTTACATACTGCTTTTTCAAAAGAAGATGTAAAGTAGGCAGATAGATATATGAAATAGAGATGAAGACAAGGTCTCGGCTTAAAGAGATGCATGTGTAGGATATCAACTTACGGTTGCTCTTTAAACTCACGAAATAAATAATATCCCCTAGAAAAGAGTGCTTATTAGAAAAACAAAGGTGGCCCTTTCCTGTCCTGAAACTCCTCCAAACTTAGAGAAAGGGTCAGCATAAGATAAAAACCTACCCACTTGGAAAATCTGATGTCATAGAAGAGACTATTTCAACCACGCAATCTGGTAAGTTTGGTTGTGTAAAATAAGACAGAGAGGTATACATTTGACTTGACAAGAAGGAAGTGACTGACAACTTTATAAAAACAGTTTCCAGGCTGGACGCGGTGGCTCACGCCTATAATCCCAGCACTTTGGGAGGCCGAGGTGGGTGGATCACGAGGTCAAGAGATCAAGACCATCTGGTCAACATGGTGAAGCCCCGTCTCTACTAAAAATACAAAAATTAGCTGGGCATGGTGGCGCATGCCTGTAGTCCCAGCTACTCGGGAGGCTAAGGCAGGAGAACTGCTTGAACCCAGGAGGCGGAGGTTGCGGTGAGCCGAGATCACGCCATTGCACTCCAGCCTGAGTAACAAGAGTGAAACTCTGTCTTGGAAAAAAAAAAAAAAAAAAAAACAGTTTCCACTAAAGATAAATGATGGAAACAAAATTAAAATGGAATGACAAGGAGAATAAGAGGTGAAAAAGTAGAAATAGAAACAAGACTTTCAAAAATGATACATGTAAATCGTATCAATAGTTGTGGGAAACAAACCAGACCAGTAACAGACTACATTTAGTTCATTAATACCTTGATAAATTATTGCAGCAAACCACTAATTTATCTTGCTATAGATGAACAGAAAAATAGCTGTGATCCCTACAATGCAAAAATAAACTGAAGTCTTACGTCGAGATAATCCATACTTTTGAAAATGCAGTAGAGGTAAACCTACTTATCCTAAAAGTTATTAAACTGAACTGAAAAGTTCCCACTAATAAAAAAATGATATTTGATTCTCTTGGAATAGAAAAACTTTCCTATGCAGATACCAAAGCAAAGAACTATTTAATTTCATAAGAATTAAAATCTTATATGTAGTGAATAACTACATTATAAAAGAAATTTTAGGAAATAACAGATGAGGAAAATATCACAACATAAATGACCCTAATATATAAAAAATGTCTATATTATCTTCTTTCCAATAAGAAAAACCAATAAAAGTACATTAAAGGACAGAAACAAAGAAATAAAGACTAGAAATTCGAATGACTAATAAGATGGCATGCCACATGACATATCCCCATTTTTCAGGACTTTCCTTAAAAATCATCAGTAGTGAGTAATGTTAAACTAATATGTATCTAAGAACTCTATAAATAGTAGCAGACATATAAAACTCCTCAGTTACCTAAATAGCTTTACCATCAAGGCACAGCAGTTTTATTCCACATCTGAGTATACAGTAGAATGGCCTTGTTTCATTTAACATGACTTAATATGACTGCAGGAGGTACTGATTTTTAAATTTCAGCTTACATATTCCAACAAAAGATACAGTTGTGTAATTTTAAAACTCAGCATATTAAGATGTGTATAATATTTAAATAGCTATGGGGACCATAGAAACACAAAAGCAAACACAAGGAAAAGTGCCTACCTTCCCTGATAGCTGTGAAAGGTGTCCCCTCTTCTTCCTGCAGCCTGATCACCTTCAGAGCTACCAACTTCCCATTTACCCTGCAACAAATGAAAGAAGAGGTAAGTGAATCCATGAAAATATGTGCCCATTATAGTTTGAATTGTCTTCCTTATAATTTATTTATATAAGTAAATAAATTCACTTTTATGCTAAAAATGTCAGTGACTCAATTATACACCCAAAGCAAGATTAGTTTTAATAAGGCTCAGAATTCTATATCATCATCATAAATATTCACCATTTTAAATATTCATACTTGCATAGGCCAAGATTTAACTGAAGTTTTCTGTGATTCACTGTGTTCCTTCCAGAATGAAACTAGTATTTAACCAAATCACCACCATTGACAATTATTCTCAGATTAATTAAAAATGAAGCAATCAAAAATAACTCCATTCTTGGTTTCCCCAATAGCTCCTTCTTTGTTCCTTCTGCTGAAATGTCTTCATTTTTAGTCTTTAGCTAGGTCATTCAATTCCCAAGGACACAAACTTAGAAACTTGACACTCACACTCTCTTTCTCTCTCTCTCTCTCTCTCTCTCTCTCTGTCCCAACAACACCCATTGCCATTTTTTTCCTTTTTTTTTGTTTTTTACTACAGCCTCCTAAAATTAAATTTGGTTTAGTTGTGTTTTATATTACAGTATGTCATCAAAAAAGTTATGAATATTTTACCATTACAAGATTACACAAGACCTATCCAAAGCAGATGGTCCTTCCAGACACATTCTAAATGTGGATTGGCTCCAATTAAAAGTAAGATTATGCTATGGAGATATCTTTTTATCCAGTCAATTCTGTCATCAATCAAAGATGTGACTATCTATATTAGACCCCCTCCTTGAGTGTTCTATTTTCTACCCACACTGGGCCTAGAAGCATACTTTATTTGATTTGTTTGTTAACTAAAATAGGACAAAACAAAATCACATATATAATTCTCAGTAGATTGGTTCCAGGATCCCCTTTGATACCAAAATCAGAGAATGTGTAAGTCTATTACATAAAATACTGTAGTGTTTGCATAAAACCTATGTACACCCACCCATACACTTTAAATAATCTCCAGATTCCTTATAATACCTAATACAATATAAACACTATGTAAATAGTTGTTATACTGCATTTTTATATGTATAATTTTAATTGTTACATTATCTGTCTTTTTCCCAAATATTTCAATCCAAAGTTGTTTAATTTCTAGATGCAGAAACCTTGAATATGGAGAGCCAACTATACAAAAAATGCTAAAGGTGCAGGACATATAGATTTCCATATATATTTATCACATATATATACACAAAAATATAAACATATATACACATAACAAAAATGGTAGTGTACAATATAGAGTATACTCTATATTGTTTATGTCACTTAACAATATATTTTGGTGACTTCCTTATAAATCCATAGAAAACTGCCTTTTGCTTTCAAAAACGACAGGGTGTTCTTATGTATGAGTAGAGTATACTACATTTAACCCCAGTCCTCTATTGACAGTTATTTAGCTTGTTCCCAAATTTTGCTACTATAATGATGCAACAGGTATTCTTGTATGTGTAATTTCATCTTTTCAAAACAGGTCTGTAAGATAAAATTCCTAAAAGGGCAATTGCAAGGTCAAAGGTATGTGCATTTCTAATTTCCAATTCTGATAAATACTGGAAAATCATCCAAAATAGAGGAGAGGATACCAACAAAATATTTAGTATCCTTTCCTATAGCAAATAGAGTTCCTTTACCTCTCCTCTTTCACCTAGGCTACATGTTCTCAGTGTCTGATTTTGCCAATCTAATAGGTCAAAAATGGTTTCTTACTGCAATTTAAATGGCTACCAAAGATCTCTAGAGTATAAAGAACTAGCAAAGAAGAACTTAGTCGGCCTGAGAATCCAGTGTCTGAATCTGAAATAATTTGAATGTCTCTTTTTTAAACCTACATCTATTTTGTCTGTTTTTGCTCTAAAACTGTCATAGACATAAAACTCAAAAGGCCCAGGAATTCATCATAGTTGAACCATCTTAGTGGCATTTCTCATTGAATTGATTGCTGAACTACATTATTACTGGTTACAGTAATGGGATAGGGACACCTGATTATAAGGCTCCACAATGTACCATCTCCACAAGGTTAGGAACTGTGTTTCTTTTTCCTCCAGTTTTAGCAGAGAGGACAGGCCTGCTGCTTTTCTGTTCTGCATCCTCTTCCCTTGAGTATATTTTCTTGATTTTTTCTAATCCTGTTTGTGCTCTAAGCACCCAGGTACAGGCAAAAAAAATTACTATACACATGGGGTTCAGCTGGAGACTGTACCTTGTACTCTTCACTTTGTCTTTTAGGACTAAGCACTTTGGCGGGGCTTGAGGCTGGGATGCAGTCAATGCTGACATCTGCATGAATTTTTCTCAGCCCAGTTGAGCTCATCACTGGCTCCCTGAGGAGGCAGTAACTGATTCCAGGAACTGCTTGGAATTTTCCCCTAATTTACAGATATTTTCCCCTCACCCATAAAACACACACACACAATCTTTTTCTTGCAAAGCTTTCCAGTTCTCTTGAGAGTATTAACTTGTATGTATCATGCACTGTGAACTGAGTTCTGGAATATAAGGACCGCATGCTTCCGTAGGTTGTGTCCTTATAGCACATTCTCAGGCATGAAACTATGATTGCCCTATAATACACTGAAAGGACACCAGCCTTTAACTGAATCAACACTCATTTCTAAAGTGCAACTACACATGGATTCCGTTAAGTAACTTCATTAACTAATTTGTATCATTTTTGTGGTGAAAAAGGTTTTTGAAAATATTTTCTATAACTGCATAAAAAAACAAGACCTAGGTTCATGGAATTCAGATTCAGAATTCTCCATGAATTGAACCTCCAAGTGTTTGTTTTTAATAAGTTATGATCATCTAAATAGTTAATGACACTGAGATTTTATGTATTACATGATTTGAAACTATAATTTCCTTAAAATATATACTGCACAATAAGTTCCAGAAATGAAAGAACTTTTTCCGCTTTATAAACTGTTATTTGCCCAGTATTTAGACCTTCTTGGCAGAGTAGATTCTCAAAATATTTCACTGAATGAATATTGATGCTGCTATAATAGTATACTGACATTTTCCTCAACATACCTGCAAAGTAAGTCCAGAATGAATCACTAAAAGTATTATTTCCAAAAAATTCCAAAATTATTAAAATTTGATAAAGCTTTCAACATGTAATTTCATGTTGGGTTTAAATGTTTATTTTCTTTTTACAAATAAAAGGTGTGTGGTCTCTTTGTGTTTAATACATCTACGTATAGAAAATTTTTTATTTCCTCTAAATTTTAGAATTTGTAGAACGCTTTGTTAATTAACCTTTTTGCACCCAGCAGACAAGTTTCAAAACACTCACTAACCTTTAATAATCTGAGCACAGACCACTAATAAGCATCTCCCTTTTCTATGATTGCTTCATTGGTTTCCTATTAAGAATCATATTGATTACCAAATTGCTCTTTAACCTAAGAGTCACTGTGACTTTCTCCTTTCTTAATTAGTTTTTCTCTACATGTCTCAACCCTCAGCAACTAATGAATCTCTTAGTTTTAAGGCCTAGTAAAAATGTTAAGTCACTGAGTCTACTTTTAGAAAAAGTACCAGTGGAAAAAATAACATTAAGAAATTTTAGGCACTGGGTCTGAGAAACTCTGGGCAAGTTCACAGAGTCGACTCCCCAGGTGATGCCAGGCGCATCTCAGGCCAGAGTACAGAGGTGTCATTATAGCTTACTGCAGCCTCGAACTCCTTGGCTAAAGCAGTCCTCCCACCTCAGCCTCCTGAGTAGCTAGGACTACAGTCCTTCCTATACTAAATGAAACAGAGAGGATCCAAGATGGTCAAATAGGAACAGCTCTGGAGTGCAGTTCTCAGCAAGAACAACACAGAGGGTGAATGCTCACTGCATTTCCAAACAAGTTTTCACTGCCAACAGACCAGAAGACTCCCAGGTTGAAAAGCACCATGAGTTTTCAGCACGGCTGGTGTTGTGGGTTGGTGCACAGAAACTCACACAAATCTGGGTGGCTGTTTCAACTGATGCCTGAAATGCCTGGGAGACAGAGCCGCCCATTCAACTGAAAGGGAGGGGGGCTGAGACAGGGAGCCAGGTGATCTGGCTTAGTGGGTACCACCCCCACAAAACAAGCAATCTGAAATGAGTTTAGCAACAAGTGCAGCTGGACCCAGGATGGTCCAGCTCAGTGGGGGAAGGGCATCCAACACTACTGAGGCAGTCCACCACTACCAAGGCAGTTCAAACAGCAGCTGGGCAGAGCCTGCAGCAGCTCAGCAATGCCTCTGCTAGCAGACTGAGACTAGACTACTCCACGTGGGGCAAAGCATCTCTAAAAAAAGGCAGTAGCACATCAGGAACTTACAAATAAAACTGACCTTCCTAGGTCAGAGCACCTGGGAAAAGAGGCAGTTATGAGTTCCACTGCAGCAGACTTAAAGGTACCTGCCCAGCAGCTCTGCAGGGAAAAAGGGAGCTCCCAGCACAGCACATGAGCTCCTAGAGGGAACAGACTGGCTCCTTAAGCAGCTCCCCAACTCCTGTATACCCAAAGAGACACCTCATAAAGGACAGCTCAGGCTGACATCTGGCAGGTGCCCTTCTGGGAAGAAGATAACAGAAGAAGAAACCAGCAGCAACCCTTACTGTTCTGCAGCCCCCATGGGTGATCTCCAGGCAAGCAGGGTCTGGAGTGGACATCCATCAGTCCTGCAGCAGAGGGGCCTGACTGTTAGAAGGAAAACTAAGAAAAAAAAGGAAATAGCTTCAACATCAACAAAAAAGACATCCACTCAGGGACCCCATCTGAAAGTCATCAACGACAAAGACCACAGGTGGATAAAGCCACTAAGATGGGAAGAAACCAGCCCAAAAAGGATAAAAACACCAAAATCCAGAACATCTCTCCTCCTCCAAGGGATAACAATCCTCACCAGCTAGGGATCAAAGATAAATGGAGAATG